TGTTTGAAAGAATGTTAGGGGCGGGCAAACCAAAACGTGTCATCATTTGTTGAAGTCACTAACTTCTAGTCTGAGCCATGTTGGTAGATGCAGACTACTTGATTGGGGTCCGCGTGACTGTCGTAACCAATGGTTGGAGACTCTTCGTGACATGACTCAGAATCGATCACAATGGCGTCGGTGTATACACTCTCTGTCTTTCCTTAAACTAAAAGATTAAAATCGCTTCATATCTTTTTTCCTGTACTATATCCTTATATGCGATCTTTCGTTTATATATTACCACCTCTGAATTAATTACTTTTATGAATCCGGTATTCATCTTGTTGTGTTAATGAGGTATGGCAACTTGGACCGATGCATATATGTGCCTGGTCGTACGTTGTAGCTGACTGACTGACTGACATTAACACTGAAAAGTGGTAGGTTGATTAGTTTAGAATAATTATTATAGATTGTACTATTCATCCTATATCATATATAGTTCTATTCATTATGTTACTTATCACTATCACTATGTGTTTCATTTTAAATTGTGGTAAACATTTTTAAGTGTTCCATGTTAACATTGTTTTATGTATGACTAACTGACTGACTATTTTTTTTTCTTTCTTTTTTTCGTTTTTTTTTTGAATTTATCAAGTAATGCAATTGTATATAGATCTAATGTTATCCCTTATTTTTGTTTAAAAAAAAAGAAGAGAAATATACATTAGGCGCTATCTGTCAAACTAGATCAAATGTACTTTACCGGTACACCTTTTGTTTTTTTCCTGTTTCCTGGATTCCATTTTAACAATAAAGCAACTGTATAACAATAGCGACAAAATAGTTATAATAATAATACAACATTTCTTTTAAAGATAAATTTTTCGGAATTTGTTTTTTCATCATTTCAGAATTGTTATATATTCTTCTCAATGATAACTGATGATTAGCTTAATCATCGCCAAAAGTCTACACTGTACACACACACATGGTTTCAATGATCTTTTCTGGTTAGCGTTTCTTTTTAGCGAGTTAGTTTTCTACGGGATGGGGTCGCTAACTACATGCTCAACCCTCCTCCTTTATCCGAGCTTGGGACCGTCAGTAGCCCTAAACGAGCTCCAAGCGGAGTTCATACACACACATATTATCTTTTATTATGAGACTGTTGCTTCTCCAATTAAAACAAAACAAAAACTATTATGAAGTATGTAACCTGTTGGCGTACATTAGACTAAACGTATACTTTGAATGTTCTTTTAATCAATTGTTTTTAGTGTTAAGTTAAACTTTTATTGTCATTCTGAATAATACCTTAAACTCATACTTTGTGTAGAAGTGAGCTTCATAGTTATCTTATCAGAATGAACCAATATATCATTTGAGGCCAAAACATTGCACAAATCCATGAAGTCACTAACAAGTGGACTGAGCCATGTTGGTAGGTGTAGACTAGGTGATGATGATAGCAACCGATGGTTAGAGACCTTGAATGACATGGCTCAAAATTGTTTGCAATGGCACAGGTGCATCCATTCTTTGTGTTCTTCTAAATTCTAATCTTCTGAATTCTTTATGTTCCTTTTTTTCTCATTTCAAATATATTTCACTGAATTATACTCCTTGAATAGCATCTTCAACCCCTAATGTTTCCGATTACTGCTTATACTTTTACTACCTCTACCACTACGGAATTTGAATCGACAACTGCATCTCTGTGCTAATGTGATATGGCAACTCGAACTGATGTACTTACGTACGAAGTTCTATGTTGATACTGACTGAACATTACATGAAATAGATACTGAATATGTTGTTTAACAGGACCAATGAAAGCTCTTTCATTAAACCATCGAACTTGGAGAACTCAACTCTACTAAAACATTCATTTGAGCTATAGATTTTCTCCATCATTTCAAATTGATGATTTTATTACATTAGATTTATTTCCAGTTGATAATCCTATGCTTTTACCTAATAACATTTGTGTAATGGAGTTTTGTTCTCTGAACTGAAAGAACAAAACTCCATCAAAATCATTCACTTGAGCTATAAATCTTCTTCACCACCTCAACAATTACTGTTCAAATTTGTAAATCCTTGCATATTACCTACCTTTGTTTCAACTGTCGAAAGTAAGATTATACTGTATTGATTAAGCGCCGCTAGGATTACATTAACAAGTGTTGATTTTATCAAACATGAATCATTCACTTTACTGCCAATTTTGTTATTGTTTTATTGTTCAAGTCAGAGTACAATACAAGTACATTATATAATCTATACTGGTAAAGAGAAATACCAAAAAAAAAGAGAAAATACAATACTTAACACAAATATTATACAATGAAAATAGAACAACTAGTGTAGTGAACGAGAACTCATGTAGGGGGCAACTAATTTATCGGTTATTGCAAACTTCCACAGTACCTTTGTAAAATATAAAAATCATACATTAAATACATTAGTTTGACATCTTCCATCAGTTATTCTTTACATACTCCATCATTGTTTTAACACTGTTGTTATTCCAATTTCTCTCGGTATCCCTTCCTATTCTCTTTAATTCAATCTTCTTTTGGTAGGCATTTCATTTCCGATTAGTGTTATATACTACTTATGCCTGTCAGTATAAGTAGCGTACACACTATGATGTATGATTTTTTTCATATTTTACAAAGACACTGTGGGAGTTTGCAATAAACAATAAATCGGTCCCCTTCCCCCCCACGCGTCTATGTTCTCGTTCACTACACTAATTTGGAAAACTAGTTTGCACAGTTGAAGGTACAAATCTCATTGACTATTCTAACTGTAAAATAAAACAAATTCTTCAAGCATACAAAAGATTATTGAATAAAACAATTAATAATATACTACTTAATTATCCTATTATGAAACACTATATCCACATACTTCTTGTTGATACTTCAATGTCCATGAGGTTTTTTTTATTTACTTACCCTAAAATTCAAATCTATACTTCATTACCGAAAAAAAAACCGATGTATATTTTGTACAATTTCTTTTATTGATTGAAATCATGAGTTAATTGAAGCTAGATCACTATGGAAAACCTGGAAGCACTAGACGGCCGTTTTGTCCTAGTATGGGACTCCTCGGCAGTGCGCATCCACGATCCCGCTCCCCGCGAGATTTTAACACAAGACCTATCAGTCTCGCGCCAAGCGCTTAACCAACTAGACCACTGAGCCGGCATCCAACGGTGTTAATGCCTAGCTTCAACCAATCCACGAAGTTGCGCCACTGTATACGATTGTCTTCAGTGAGCTGATATCTCACAACAGACCTGGTTGAAATCCACTGGTCTAGCTTCAATTGACTCATGATTTTAATCAGTGAAAATTTCTAAAATCTCCACAAAACCTCTTCTGATAATTTCTTTTATGTAATACTACTTTTGATGGTGTTTTATTTAAATTTATTCAGAAGACTTCCAAATGATTTAGTTTTGTGAAATGTTATTAATTAGTTCTTACTTGTACAGATAACCACGAATATTCCTTCTTTTTTTTAAATAATTGGATATTTTCTCTTGGTTTTTATTCTCTTATCTTATCGGATATAGATAATTTTAGCTTATTAATTCTCTGTATACCCTAAGGTCATGTCCTGGTTACTATATATATATTTGTGGTAAATATCAATTTTCTTCCCTATTTCTACTAACCTCTTTTTGGATTTCATCATCGTTCATTATTGTTGTAGGAGTGTACATGGGTGTATTAATTGGCATGAAGTCAAGTTCACATTAGATTTCTTTCGTATTAAATAATTTATTATTATTATTTACTTGAACACATAAATACTGGTACAAGGAAGCACCAGATACACATGCACCACACAAATCTCATTTGATTTGTGTGAGGACTGTGATGCTGCCCGGGTGCCCAAGCCGAAGAAGGTGGTTTTCTTAGGGAGCCACGCCCGGAGCCTTCGACCTGAAGGTCTGATCCACAAGCAGTGGAGCATCGTAAGGAGATGCAATCCCACAGTAGCCGGTGACCAATTATTGGTTCATACGCCATTTGTTCCTTCAGTATAGTGGTGTTCATGTGCACGATTGGTTTGGAATGAGGGTTTTCCAATTCTCCTACGTGAACTCTCCATGTTCACCAACCCGGTTAAAGCGTCGGACATTCGTTTTCATCCTCTTAATTTCGTAAACAGCAGTAATGCTACGAGAAGGCAGTGAGTAGGACGTCCGTGGCAGTGGTTGTATGCACGTTGCCATGTGAGAACATTTGGAGAGGAAGAGCTGACTCTCCCCACTCTCAGACGTACCAGGGCATTTGGGGCATTAGAATAACCTAGATCGCTTCCACAATATATTATTTATTCTAGACCGAAATCCAACCATGATTATGCTTAACTATATTATTATTATTATTATTATTATTATTATTATTATTAATGGCTTTATTCAATATTATATTTTTGGTACAATATAAAATTCTCAGTACAAAGTATTTCAACAAGTTCGCTTTCTCTATTGGTTGATAGATCCTGAGGGAAGTGGTTTCCTAGGAAAACCATCTGCTTCAATTCGCGCATCCGGACAGTATCCCAACTCTCACACAAATCAAATGATTTGTATAGCGCATACATATTTGATGCCTCCTCGTACCAACGTCTCTATCTCTGCTTGTACTTTTTTTGTAATTCGTATAGTGAAAGGCCTAAAACTTTTCATAAACGCTCCTGAATAGGTTATGCGATTAATAGACATAATGAGGTGTTAAAACAAAATAATAAAAAAAACCCCGGATAACTTGTTGAAATATCTAGATGGCAGAAATAGATAGTCGAGATATTCAAGCAGGCGGTTTTCCTTTTTCGACCATTCAATTCCTAGATCATTTTATTGTAGTTTAAATAAGTTTCGTTTCAAATTACTTCATTATGAATCGATTGAATTATTATTATTACTACCATGCTGATAACTCTACATTGTTGCCGTTAATGTTTTTTTTTCCAATTACTTATTGTAGGGTTTTGTTACTTAAAAATTAGTGATCAACGTCAACTTGTTCGAAGTGCTATGTATCCGATTATGTTATTGGAACTTAGCCGAGATTATGTGAATGAAGATCGAACACGATATAATTATTTCGATTTTACGTAAGTTTATTGATTAGTCAATTGTACATATCTATAAATATATACATACAATTTATTTGTAAATAATTATATACTTCATTAAACCTGTTACCCTTCTTGGAACAATGGTCACCGACTTACATTGCTCTAGTTGTCAAAACAGATATTGGTGTAGGAGGTTTCGAAGAATCTCGAATTTAATCATGAAGACCTTTCAACTCTTAAGGCAGAATTTAAATTGACAAATCGGTTTATATTGCTCAGGGTTTTCTAAGCGAGGTTGTTTCTTTACGGGGTATGCTTAAAACTCTATTCAGCCCTCCTCTTTCACAGGAACTTGGGTCTTACAGTAACCCTGGAGGGCTTTTGGTGAAGTTTTGTAAATAATACAGTGGGTTTATTTGGTAACACAATCAACTTTCAATTTTGGATACGAAAATTTGACCTTCGGCTCTATCTCTTTCTGTTCAGTTATTGGAGCAGTAAAGAGAACTGAATATCTTCACAAGCACACATTACATGGCGATAATAATAATCATAATTTCCTCGTCATTAATTAGCATATATTTGTCTACAATAAAGACTATTTAACCATTCGAAATACTTTAGAGAAATAGTGTGTGTGTTCTTATGTTGTTCACCAGCGATTTGTTATCACTCATCTTTATCTGTAAACGTCTTTTTTTCAGTCAATTGTCCTATTATAAGACATTTGTATCATCTTGCAATGTACTTGATTCATAAATGTCATACCTGATCATCCCTTATTCTTAAGAAAAATAAATCATATCAAACACTTTGATAATTCCGCTTAAATGTTGAATAAATAATTTTATAATACGTTGTAAACTTTTGTCTAACCTCTTAAACACATTGGGCATCTATTTGAAGTTTGTTCTTATGATGTTGTTCATAAGAACAATGAAAGCTCCATGAAAAACCATTCAGCCCAGAGAAAAAATTCCACCAAAATCATCCACCTGAATTACAAACTTTCACCATCTCGCATATAAAATGAATCAAGAATGGAAAGATACATTTCAATGTGTACAAATTTGTAAAGCAGTTGTCCCAGAAGTTTAATCAATACTTCCTATACATATATGTATGTATACATAACTTATGTGCATAGTCGCACCTTGAATAATCTATTAAGTTTGAATCCTTATTATCAGAAGGGTAAATGGATGAGTAAACACCATTAAAATAATAAAACATATCCTGGAGTTCTAGTGAGAAACAGTGACCAGTGGACTTCAACCGGGTCTGTTGTGGGACAGTAACTCACTGATGACAATGGTGGACGTGTCGCTCAATTTTGTGGATTAGTTGACGTTAGACATCAACACCATTGGATGCCGGCTCAGTGGTCTAGAGATTAAGCATTCTCACGCGAGACTGATAGGTCCTGAGTTCGAATTTCGCGTGGTGGAATCGTGGATGCACACCATTGAAGAATCTCACAACAGGACGAAACGGCCGTCCATTACTTCCAAGTTCCAATGATGATCTAGCTTCAATGAGCTCATGATCTCAACTATTGAAATTACTATAATATCCATAAAACCCCTTCAATTATTAAATATATTTCATAACTTGTTATTTTAATTTCTTTTCTTTATAGTCCTGAAGAACATGCAATTATACTTAGTCATTTCCCAACATTTCATAAAATATCTGGTCATTTAATACGTTCAGGTGAATTTCTTACTCGATTAAATTTAGATAATATTGAATTAACACTTATGTGTGCTCAGGAAGTATTTAAAGGTAAATAAATATTGCTTATTGTACTTATTGAATATGTTTCCATTTTATGTACTTGTTTTTTTTATTATATACATTGCTTGCCTGTAATCATATAAAATATTAGTAAGATGGCTTATTTGTTAAAGCGTTCTAATATTAATAGTTGAATTCATGAGTCAACTGAAGCTAGACCACCATAGAAAACCTGGAAGTACTGGACGGCCGTTTCGTCCTATTGTGGGACTCCTCAAAAGACATTAACACCGTTGGATGCCGGCTCAGCGGTCTAATGGTTAAGCGCTCGCGCGCAAGACTGATAGGTCCTGGGTTCGAGTCTCGCGGAGGGGCGGGATCTTGGAGGCGCACTTTTGAGGAGTCCTATACTAGGATGAAACGGCCGTCCAGTGCTTCCAGGTTTTCCATGGTAGTCTAGCTTCAATTGACTCATGATTTCAACTATTGAAATTTCTAAAAATCTCCACAAAACTTTTTCTGATTTTAACATTAGACATTGTGTTCTAGGTTTGAACCTCATTTTGTCTATTTCAGTTTATGTAATCGAGTAGTATCATTAGTTCTCTCATTTAGAATGTGACTTACACAAATCTATACCTGATAGTGAATTAATAATGATAAACTATTTAACCGTCTATTGAAGTGTACCATAGTATCTATTCATCAATTACTTTGATTGCTAGATGCAAGACTCGGTTGATATGATTTTAATAAGTTTATGGATTTAACATGACATTATTATTTGTATTTCTTAATATGGACTGATATTATCTAAGTAACCTGTCATGGATCCAATTCTAAAGTTCATAGGAAACATTACATATAGGGTTCGTTCTAGTTAACGCTCACTAGAAGGATGTGCCTATAATCTTGAAGGAATTGATGCTTCTCATAGTATTTGAAACCAAATCATTCAGCTTCACAGTCTGAGATGTTATCACTGAGATATTCAGGCACTGAATGACCTCTACTATGGGACATTTAAAAATGATGAATCATTGAGTAGTGGTCAGTGTAATGTCAATATATTCTACCTAGTTATCCATACTTTTTCCACTATGTTTGCTGATTAAAATGTTTCTCTTTGAATTGAAAAAGGACAATTATTTTTTCTACTCGTTTACATTATTCCTTTTCTTTTTCCTTTGCTCATACCTGTTTATCTTTTAATCCTTCCTAGTGATATTTCCTCTTTCTCCCTCCCTCTCTCTTTCTCCTACTTTCATCTAAATTTTATTTTTTTTTGATTAATTAAAAGATTTTTTTGTATGTTCTATAGAAAAACAATCTACTTGCGTAAACATTATTCGTACTTACCATTTCTAAATCTTTTTCTCCTTCATTAGTTCTACTTTATGTCCTATTTTGTTTACCATTGTTGATTAATGTAATTAACCATTGCCTTTCTTAGAACCACTTCATTCATCTACCTTCATATCTACCTACCGACATCTATTTGATTGTCACTATATATAATTATGTACATTGTTTGTTAGTTATTTTTATTAGTTATGTAACAAGAGATAATGAATAAGGAAAATAATTAGTTAGTACGTTTATTTTGTTTTTGTTCATTCTCGGTATTATTAATATGAACATTTACTAAAGCACATATTGATAGATACAGAAGACCTGTGTGCTGTACATTCACATGCATATAGGTGCTTGTACGATGATTGATAACCTTGTATTTTATGTGATATTTTGTCGTTATCAAGCACTACTACTACTACTACTACTACTACTACTACTACTACATACATGCCTACTCCACTTTCTATCGCACTTGTCAGTACATTCTATTTTAAGTAGAGAGGTAGATAGTGGTTGACAATGTAATCCAGAACGTCAGTTTCATCCTATTTGAGATTCATTGGCTGAATATATTTACATCCTACAGTTGATATTGACTCCGAAACTTGAATGCAACACCTTTCACTTCAAACATTATCGCTTTATCCACTTAGCTACAGAGTTCAAATAACCAGTATAAATGAATTAAAATCAATATGTTCCATGTTTTAAAGAAAAAAAAAAAGTTTTAACCATTATTATTCGTTTTTTCCTTAATAAGAAAACGGAAGAACGCTATATATATATATATATATATATATATATATATATATGCATGTTCATTTACTTTTAAGAAATGAAATATGCAGTTTATTGTATGTGTCTTTCTTCTTGTGACGTATACTGTGGTTACGTTTCCTCAAGAGAATGAATCTAATTATAAACGTTTGCGTAACATTGATTAATATTCTGTTTTTGACAATGATTTATATATATATATATATAGAAAGGGCAAAAGACTTTTCGTCATAAACTGATATCGACTGAGAAAGTAGACAGTGATTAATAATTGTTTTCTCCTTGTTTAAATCACACTTCAATGTAGTGCTTATCTATGACCTTACATATGATTAAGGTCTAAAAATATCTTCCTAAAACGGAGGATGATCTTATCATTCAATAAATATTGATCACAATATCAGTCATTGAGGCATATTCTCTGTAATACAAGAAAATATTGAACTGGAATTAGATTAAAGCCAGCGATTTTTGAATTATTCATCTAATGATTCATTTGGTATTGTTTTTCTTGAATCTTCCTATTGAAGATTAAGACTGCAATTGATCAGTCTGTTATTGGCATATGTACATACTGTGCGTATTGCCTTAATTCATAAGCTTTATAAACAAAGATGGATAGTGGCTAGCAGTGGAATCCAGGACACGCGTTTCATCCTATTTGCTTATAAAGCTTGTGGATTAAGGCAATATTTGAGGCAACCCGCATAGGATGTACATATGTTAATAACAGATTGATCAATTACAGTCTTAAACCTCAATGGGAAGATTCAAGCAAAACAATACCAAGTGAATTTAAATTCACCCCATTGCACAGGCAAGTAGCTATCAGGACTCAGTAGCTGAGTGGATAAAGCAATGGCGTTTGAAGCGAATGGTACTGTGTTCGAGTGCCAGAGTGAACATCAACTCTGAGATGCAGGTACATCGAGGTGACGAGTCCCAAATAGGACAAAACGCGCGTCCTGGATTCCACTACTAACAACTATCCATCTTAAAAAGAAGAATATATTTGTAAAATCTCAGCGAATGAATTTTAAGTAAATCCAACGTTTCGCCTGGCAATCTGGTCCAAGCTTTTTCAAGGAAAATATAATCAAACAACAAAATTATCGAATATAAGTCCATCTTTGCTTATTCATCCAATAAGTTAGAAAACTAAACCCCGATTGATTACAGAACTGTTAGATACTTAGTTTAATTATCACTTGAATACAGTCTTAAGGTGTGGAAGTCCTGTGCTGACGTATTTTACCTCTTTAGAGTTATTCTTTTGTGATTTTACATAACTACTTCATCGTAAATTGTTACTAATAAATAGAAATAGAAAATTTTTACCGGTATACACCTATTAAATTCGTCACAGTTAATAAAATAAATAGAAATATTTATGTTGAAATAATGATATTATTTATTAGAAAGTGATACCAGTAATACAGAGGCGCTGTAAATAAATGTTCACTAAAGACTTGTATTATCCCAATTCATAAGGAATGCACACTAACTTAAGCCCTTCTACACATGGTTCACCAACTTATTCATTTGAGTTTTGGTTAATATCATGAACCGATTAATGTTACATAACTATTGAAAACCTGGAAGCCCTGGACGACCGTTTCGTTCCAGTATGGGACTCCTCAACGGTGCGCATCTACGATCCCACATACGGGACTCGAACCCGGGACTTTTGGTCTTGTGCAAACTCCTAACCTCTAGATCACTAAGCCGGTATCCAACGGTTTTAATTTCTAACTTCAACGATTTCACTATGTTGCGTGACCATCTTCGACTGTCTTCGGTAGGTAACTGTCTCACATTCGACAAGGTTGAAATTCACTAGTTTTCATTGATGGCCTAACATTGATCGGTACATTATCTCAATCAAACCTTAACAATATTTATTACCCTATACTGATATTTATAACATTCAGTTTATATACACAGTGTATAGCATCAAATGAGGCATTGGTTACGTAATGAATACACGCTGATATTAAGTAAGAATAAAATGAATAAAGCACAGTTAATTAAAATAAGATTACTAATCTAGAAAACAGTGGAAATAAAAAGACGTAATAATGTAATTAATTGAAGGAAAGAGTCGAACAATATATTGTGATCTAATGAAGGAATATTTATCATCAAGGTAAAGAAAGATTAACAACCATCTCTTTTAAAACACATAAACTAGGTTTTAGCAAACTTCTGAAAACTAGAGTTTGACTGCTTATTAATTAACCTGAAAGATCCCAAGGCATCGACCTGATGCCCTGTATTAATGAGATGTTTAGGAATATATTCAAAGAATTTAAGAAATGTTTTCTTTTCTGTTCTGTAAATGTAACTGCCTTGGCAGGTACTCGTAAATTTATAACCACAGTTGGCGGTAATATGAAACGGGCGTTTGTCAACCTTTGACTGGGTTATTGAACATATTGTTTTATATGGTATTAATAGTTTGGCTGCCGGTTACGTTCTGGCTAATGCAGTGTTAAGCCTCCTGTTGATTGGGCTTGTGACTTCACTTATCAAGCTGAGATTTATAAATATTGATTTTTTTGTTGACTGTAGTCACACTCGTCTTGTTAACTATAGTCAGTCAGTCAGTCAGTAACAACGTAGAACTTCGTACGTACGTACATCAGTTCGAGTTGCCACACCACATTAGCACAGAGATACAGTTGTCGATTCAAATCCCGTAGTGGTAGAGGTAATAAGATTATAAGCAGTAATCGGGAAGATTAGGGTTTGGAGATGTTATTTAAAGAGTATAATCCAGTGAAATAAATTTGGAAAGAGGAAAAAAGGGACATGAAGGATTCAGAAGATTAGAATTTGGGAGAACACAGAGAGTGGATGCACCTGCGCCATTGCAAACGATTTTGAGCCATGTCATTCAGGGTCTCTTGTTTACTACAGACTTTTTATATTTGTCATAAAATTTCCATGGATAGCAGTTTTCTCTTAGACATTTTTCCACGTCCATCAATTCTACTTCCAGTTTGTCGGTTGTACAATTCCTTTCTATACCCTTGCTATACTATACTGATGTGTCTTCAAAGTAGCTTCCAACTAAAATCTTTCACTGTAAGTAATTTAAATCCATTTTGTAATTATGATTTTTAAATATCACAGGATGTAAGCATATGACGAGAACTAAACGAAATAAAATGAATCCATATTATCCTGTTCAAATCTTTATTCTTGCTTTCTACAAGAATAATAAATCGTTGAGCATCTTGAATACGATACATGTGAATGTATCTAAATAAAGTTCTTTTAATTCAATGGGTATTTGAGTCAATATATAACTCACTATACTGAACCTGTTACGTACAATATATAAGTATTTTCAAAATGTAACATCAACACTAAATGTATATCATCAATATAGGGGTTATGGAGATTATCAAGTTTTTGATTGAGATCATAAACCGATTGGCGTTAGACCACCGTTGGAAACCTGAAAGTACTTCATGGCCGTTTCGTCCTATTTTTGGGGACTCCTCAGCAGTGCGCATCCACGATCCTGCTCGCGGGATTCGAACTCAGAGCCTTCAGTCTTGCGCGCGAACACTTAACCTACTGGACCACTGAGCGGATGCGAACCTCTGAGGAGTCCTAAAATGGGATGAAACGACCGTCCAGTGCTTCCAGGTTTCCAACGGTGACCTAACATCAATCGGTTCATGATCTCAATCAAAAACTATGTGTATATCATATCATATTTTTACTAACTTCGAGTGTAGTAATTGTAAATTAGTTTATTCAGTTAAATCTGTTTTCATTTTTATTCTAATTTTGTTAACTAATACAATATGGCTTTCATTGGGGTCAGACGTCTAGATTTTTCATGTGTTTGGTATTATTTCATTGCTAAAAGGACCTTGACATGGATTTAGTCTAATTGACGTCAATACTGACTATGAATTTATGTTTATACACGTGTTACATTACGGTTGTTGTTGTTGTGCTGTCTGTTTTTTTTTTTCTATATTTTACATATTCACACTCTCCATTGCTCTCATTTTCATCTGTCCTTTGTTTGTCCTATCTGTATTGGTTTATTCATTTATCAGTACACAACAACAGTTTGGGATTTTTCTCGGTCAAGGTCAATAAACAAATCAGACACTGTTTACGTTGTTTTATTAAATTCTATTAGTGTATACATGTATGTTTATAGTTGTAGACGATGAAAATAGAATGACTGGATTAAGGATAAAAATGAAGGTCATGTTATTTACTTATTTATTTACGTGAAATATAATGATTGATAAAAGTTTAGTATAAGGATGAATGAGCCAATCCTAATTGAAAATTGAATTTTTTTAGGTTTTTGCGCGAAAATTAAAGATCGTGAACATTAGGTATCTCACCTTCATATATTACTTAAAACGTTTACAATAATGAATAAAAATCATTGTGGTGGTAAATGTATAAAATCTTTAATTCTGTCTCTTTAGACACTGTTCCTAAATCCTAAAACAGAATCTTTAATCCCGAAACAAACCTTCATCTGATGGAGCTACGCTCTACGGATGAACTAATCAGAAGAAGATTCTTATATGTTTGAGCGCGATCCATTCATTCATATGTCAGTTGGTGATAAAAACCCTAACATAAACCCCCCAGACATTTAGCCATAACTCGAAACAGTATAAAGACTCCTAAACGTCTATTTGTGTTCGAGACCATGAACAATCTATATCCGTTAGAATCAGCTTATCCATTATTCTTTTTTTCAAATTAACTGTTATTAACCTATAGAAGATATTAATAGATGAATCAATTTATTAATTATGTAAAATATGCCCGAGCTTCCAATTTTGGGGAACCTCCCGAAGTCAAATGATCTTGACCAAGGTTAAAGGGGAATTTCTCCAAAGTTCACTATATCGGCTTCCCCGAAATGATTCAAATTTTCCCCAAAATCTGGAGCTCGGGTGTGTACACCCTTCAATATTACTATTTTCTTTTCCATAAACTATTTATTCATTAAAAAAACGACTGTGTTCTCTGATTGGCTTAAAACTAACTGAAATGATGTTGTAGTTGTTTTGAGCTTATCCGTATACTAATACTATCGTCTAAATATTTGACGAAACTATGAGCATATTTTTCATGGATTATTAATCACTAAAGATTCCTATTGTGAAAACAAAACATGTAAGCGAACAATATTGTTTTCAATTAGATTATCACTGGTTGAAATCATGATTCAATTGAAGCTAGACACCACCATGGAAAACCTGGGAGCACTGGACGACCGTTTCGTCCCAGTATTGGACTCCTCAGCAGTGCTCATCCACGATCCTGCGTCGCGAGATTCGAACTCAGGACCTATCAGTCTCGCGCCAGGCGCTTAACCAACTAGACCACTAAGCTAACCCGCATCCAACGGTGTTAATGTCTAACTTCATCATCAGGCTTTATTTAATATACATGAATATTTATACGAAAATGTTAAACCAATCAAGGCAATATGGGTCAACAATCACAATGAAATAGAATAAGTCGCCACACATAATAGGTAAAATTACAAGTTGATAGTAGGAAGACAAGTGTACTAATAGTAGGTAAGACTAATAAAATACGATAACAAAAGTCTTATCAATATATGTGAAAATTATATTTGAAATATTCTCAGCGATTGAAATTTAACTAATTCCAACGTTTCGTCCAGCTAGCTTGTCTTGACTTCTTCAGGGTAATAATCAAAATCAAAATTATCAATAGTTAAACGTTGAAAATAGAAGGTCGAACGTGGTTGAATAGACTTGGAATAGTCATCATTACGTAATAAGAAGTGTGTAAATGATTAGATGGTGAAGAATACAAACGGAAAGGGGCGGAAAATTACAAACAAATACTAGATGTGAAAATAAGGCTAATGATAAAAATAAAATAGATAAAATTTTGAAAAGTCGTTAGTTAAGTTATAACTGGCCATGGAAGGGATAGGGGGGTTAGGAAATTTCTTCTGTACACATAAATTGGGGTTAAATGTTATATCCTTGATCTTCTAACATATATATATATATATATATATGTTGGATAGATCTAATCATTTAAAAAAAGAAACTAATGGCATCAAGTTGCCATGTATATAATCGATATTTTTGGTGGGGACAATCCGTTTGTAATATAATTTGATTTTTGTTTTCGTTGTCATAGTAAATCATTACCAATTCATTTGTTGTCATTTAATAATGAAGAGTTTCAATTCAGTATAATCACGAAATGTATCTTAAGAGGGAATATTATAATGCAAATATATATTCATTAATTTATTTCTTCATACTAATCATCAATTACGTAATATCTTGTGTAGTACAGATTACAGCCTGATTACAACCTGAAAAATATATTATGTGATATGACGGCATAATTCTCTTTTTAGTGATTAAGGCCATTCAATAGGAATTCCTTGACCTATATTTCATTCTAATTAGAATTTATCATCAATATTTTCTTGTATCATTTTAAAGGAATCTATATTTACTGCATTCATTAGTGTTCCAGTCAGTGTTACTACCACGACGATATGGTCTAAAAAGTTTGATAGATAATATTTGAGTAATGAATGATTCGAATAGATATCGCTTATCTAGCAACAATCGGTGAGAATATAATTTATGGACGATCTTTGAGCGACGCTAAAGTGACCTTGAGAGTGTCCACTTAATAGCCATGACCAAATGAGGGTTATAAACCTGTATGAGGAATTATAATTATAATATATAGTTGATGATTAAGGTTAAGGATTAGGTTCAGGGTTTTCATCAGGAACTGACATCAGTTATAATGCCAAAACTCTATTTATCCAAATGGATGAGTGAATTTCGCGCCAAAATCCAAGACCTGTTATCTTATACCTGATTGATTCTTCCATAAATTATAGTCTCGCCCAACAATCTACTATTACATCATTCAGATAAATTTTATCAATTACAAACTGTAAATCGTAGTGTTTGAATCAATTTACAATGATCGTTTAACATGGAATTATTCAATTATTATATAATTCGTGTACATAATTTATTACCATCTTTTCTCTCTTAACTTTTAATTTTACATCAAATAGATCGTCAAGGTTTAGATGATCCTGTGACACCAGCATATTTATTTAATTTAGTTGGACAAGCTCTTACTGAACATATTATTTCTGGTAAGTAGTGCAATTGACTTTTGCATGAATAAATATTGGCAAATTATATCGTTTCAATAGTTGAGATCATGAGTCAATTGAAGGTAGACCACCATGGAAAACCTGGAAACACTGATCGACTGTTTCGTTCTATTGTGAGATAGTAACTCACTGATGACAATGGTAGATGTGTCGCTCAATTTCGTGGATTAGTTGAACTTATACATTAACATTGTTGGATGCCGGTCGGCTCAGTGGTCTAGTGGTTAAGCACTAGGACGCGATACTGATAGATCCTGGATTCGAATCTGATGAGTCGGGATTGTGGATGCGCACTGCTGAGGAGTCCCGCAATCGGACGAATTTGCTGGCCATCTAGTGCTTCCAGGTTTTCCATGGTAGTCTAGCTTCAATTGACTCATGATCTCAACTATTGTAATTACTACGATTTCCACAAAACCCCTTCTGATACAAATAGTATCGTATTCATTATTAATATTTTATAGTCGATATTTTATATATTTCTTGTATAATTTTTTGATAAAGGTAAACTTAAGTGGTAAATCGATGATGAATGTACAATTCGTATAAAGATCACGCTGTATATTTTTAAAACAGTATGTTTTCTAACTATAATAATGAGATAGAAAAGGAAATTAGGCTAAGTATCAACTATAATGTCCAAGAATGATTTGTAGCTATATTTCTGATAATTAGTGGAATAAGTTCAACACATTAAATCATAAACTGATTCTAAATGGAAAACATTTAAGGACCAATAAGTACTAGACTGTTGTTTCATCTTACTATGGAGTTTCTCACTAGTGTACTCCTACGATCTCATTGAGAAATGCACCTAAAGGCGTTTAAGCTTCAAACCAAGCACTTAACCTTTGGGCTTTCGGGTCAGTATCCAACCATTTACTTTTCTAATTTTGAACAATTCACGGCATTGAACAATTATCATTTAATACCATACCGTTTTAGCTCTCTCTATATCTCCTTACCTCCATTTCATGAATTACACCAAACATTTATATTCAAATTGTTTAATATCAAACCTGTTTAATTCCTATCCTTACTCTTTTGTAATTAATTGTGATAATCAATCGATTGCGTAACTTCTCCTCGATTTCAACTTTGTATCCATTGTATTACTAATTGATCACTATTGAATTAATTTACCACTATTCAAATGGTTATTGTTTCTATGTTCAATTGTTTAATCCATACATTAGTGGTAGAACCATGACAAAGAGCAATGTACATAGTAGCATTTGTTCGTTCAACTTGTATCTTTAAGTGAATTATTTCAACGATAGATTTCTTTTTTATTGGTTCTATTATCTATCTGCTTTTCTCTCTCTCTCTCTCTCTCTTTTTCTATGTTTAGTTGGCTATTCATTAGAAGAACGTTGTGCTGCATTATCACTTATTTCCCCAATGTTAGAAGAATTAAATATTGAACATCATGAAGTAATTGCTCAATTACGTCAAGATAGACCAGATTTAGAATTTCCACAATTATATCTTGAAATGTTTCAATTAACTGAAGAAGAACAACGTGATCTTAAATCTACTAATTATGATCCATCTGATGATAATCGATAATTGTGAACAGGCAGATTTTAAATATAATACTTATAATCTCATGAAAGAGGCATTTATATCTGAATGAATTGTGGAATAAAAAGGAAACATTAATCCTACAGTTTACTTATTTCATAATACTATGATACTTCATATTCACCTACTAAACTACAGCATGATTACAGAATATTTCTATTGTATTACTATTATTATTATTATTATCATCATCATCATGATCATGATCATCATCATCATTGTCTTTGGATCATGTTGTCTATTTGCACACATTGAATTGATTTTAGTTTGCTTCTTATCATTTCTTATGATCACTGTTGTAGAAAAGCGCCTGAATTCCATATGGAAAATGTTATGAAATGAGTGACTGCACAACTTTGTTGTATGTCTATATGTGTATTTTCTGTTAAACAAAAAACTAATAACTTTTATTTAATATCCATCTATGTATTCGATAATTAATTGTATTCTATAGATATGAAAAGCATTTCTTTTCTTCACTTTACTATTATTATTATTATTATTATTATTATTATTATTATTATTATTATTATTATTATAATGTATTTATTATTGTCACATTAATTTCACATTGGGAACTTCATCTTTTTAAAGGGTGTACATGATTTACAGTTTATTTTGACCTATTATTCACTTGATCCTATGTATGTACACATTGTTTATTACGGGTAAATGAAAATATGATCTTAGTTAGAAATAGTAATAATAATAGTAGTGGTAGTAGTAGTGGTAGTAGTAGTATTAGTAGTATCTGTTGTACATTTATTAATTTGATTTTGTTTTTGTCTTCTATTACTATTACTGGTACTACAACTATTATTCCCGATTATGAATAGTTTGTATGTCCTGGTGTGTGTTATTTTTATGTGTATGAATAGGATAGGTGGGTGACTGAGTGAGTAAGTGATTGAATGAACGAATATGTAACAACAACAATTTCAAAACAAACTGGTATAGTTTTAAATCATCCTATTTCTCCCTTATTAAACCTTATTCAGGTTACTGTTTGTTAATTATATTAATAAATGAAAGAGTTTTCTTTTCTTTTGTTTCAATGTGTAATAGAGTAGTAACACGACAATAGGGATTGTTTTCAATTTCTATCTACTTTCTTTACATTTTCTATCTATATTATGGTATTTTATTATTATTGTTATCTTGCACGTTATTTGTTTGATATTTACATTTAAATTCTTAAATTATAGCGCCTTTATTGATTGTGTATAACTCTGTACTCTATTACATTTATATTCATATACACTTACACTTCAATGTATGTATTTATGTGTGTGTATGTGTTGAATATACACCCTAACTACTCAATGTGCAACTGTTGCATTCATATTTTCCCATTTATTTACATATATATGTATGTATTTGTGTTTTACCATTCACCAAACTAATTTTTTTTGTCTAATCTTTAACTATTATTTACCCTTTCTAAACACTTTTATATCACAATATATTTCTTCTTTAACAAAACTGATAGATTAAACAATGAATGATCCTATGGATTGGTAACTGAAGAGTAATAATGATCCTTTTTTTTGTATTTGTTTCTTTAATTTAATACACACACACACATACATACATACCAACAAACAAGCAAAACAACAAAAGCATACGAGTAAGTACGTACACTAACTACAATTAGATGTATATACTTTAAAGAATGGTTCATTTTGATTTGTTCATCTTGGAATAGTTAAGTATAAGCATAATCATCAAAAGAAATACAACAACAAATTATACAGATATGGTGAATATGATGGTAATCGTTTATCTTCATTGTTGTTGTTGTTGTTATTGTTAAACTCAGGGAAAATCAAGTATCAATATCTATCAAGGGTCTAACATATAATTTACATGATTGTTACTGTTATTATTATTATGACCATCATCAGTTTCATTTCTTCTGCTAACTATTTTTTTCCCTGTTTTCTTCTTTGTAGACATTGTTGTTTTCCTTCAATGATGTGCTTTACATATTGATGTTTCTCTGTGTGTGTGTGTGTGTGTGTTCCTTTCTATCACTATGGAATTCTTTTTCTTTTTTCTCTTTTCCATAAATAAACGCACAGGACAAATTATAGAAACTACTTATACCCATATTAACATGTATATCGATTGTTTATTTTTAAGTCAAGTTATTTTGTTTGTTTGTTTGTTTGTCTTTTTATTGTTTATACTCCTGGCAATTTATCCTTCTCAATTTAAAAATCCCTTTATGCTTTGGATTGGTAATTTTCAGTTATGATAACCTGTATATATATATATATATATATATATATATATATATATATATATATATATATATATATATATATGTGTTCATTTGCCCAGCGTTGGATACTGTCAACATTTTGGTATAGTTACAATACCTATCATATTATCTTTCTATTAATCTCTTTTTATGGTTTCATTTTGATCAGTTATCTATTTTACTTTTCATTGGTAAAGTAGAACTTAATTCAAACTAATAATTTCTTTCTTTCTTTTTTTCACCAGTTGTATACATATTTATGTATGTATGTAGTATTGTCAAAGAAATCTGATTCATTCTCATTTCTTCCTGTTTTAACAAAAAGAAAGAGTTTTCTCTTAATGTTTTGTATTGTCATCTTATATGATGCCACAGTTTATTTGTTTTCTCCAGTTACTGTACTCTACTATTCAATTTTATCATCTTTTATAAAATGAATGTTGGACATTAAGAGAGATAGATAGTCTGACAAATATATATCATAATGTACACGCCGATGTATACGTCTTCATCATCATCATCATCATATATATATATATATATGCGCACACATACACACACACAAAGACTTTTAGTCGGAACAATATATCTTTGCTACTACTTTTATTCTCTTAAAATGATCTTAGACTTTCTTTTTTTCTTTTCCATCTCTATCATATTTCTAACTTATTGACACTTGCCTATTCTTTTATTTTAAGCGCCAAATTGATTATTCATAACTGTCGTCATTATTGTCCTTCTTTGTTTTTTTACTATAGATAGAGAGAGCATTAAAACAATTGTCCTCAGTAGTATTTCTGTGAATATGTTATTGTGTGTTGTATCTCAAATGGTTTGTCTATTACCTTTAATTATTATAATTCATCTCAGGATATTATCGTATGTTGAAAGTGAATCAACCATACAAAACAAATGATCAATTTCATTTTGTATGTTCTTCCATCTTATTTATGTGCCTCTTATTTATTATTGCATTCATGAAAGAAAATAAAACTTTTTATTTATCTTATTTTTTGTTTGTTTGTTGCTTAACTGTTTGTTTATTCATTTGGTTGTTTTGTTTGTCTTTGAAGCATGAACTATGAAAGATAAACCCAGTGTAGATTCAATAACACAGGGATATATCATTATTATTATTATTATTATTATTATTATTAATGATACCATTGTACTAATAACATTTATTGTTTATATCGTTGTTAAGATATTCTTTATCGTATTATTGATTGTTGACAGTAAAGCGCCTCTATTCTTTACCTACTAAATTTCTATTGATCGGTTGGTTCCTTTTAGTGAAATTGTCTTATATGTAAACTATGAATCAGTTGTCAATTTGTCATTTTCTCGGTGTTTATTTTCTATTTGTTGTTTATTACAAATAAACACTTGTTTAATATGTATACTTTGCCACTTTTTAATTATCCCAATCTATCTCCTCTATTTGGTTTCTTGTTAATGTTCGTTCTTTATTTTTATCTCTCTCCCTTTGCGTGTATGTTTGTGTGTGTGTGTGTGTGTGTGTCAACAGTACTGACCTAGTCCACGTTCTTTGTTACCTTTTTTTAAAAAATTCTCTTCAGGTATCATCTGTCTATTCATGTCTGTATTTGTATGATGATCAGGTACAAGTTAAACACATAGAAAGAAAAAAACAACAACCGTTTTCATTCTTTTTTTTTCAATTGCTTTACTTTGTAATGACTGTCTCTGTCTCTCTTCCTCTCTCTCTCTCAGGGTTTTCTATGGTAATACAATAACTGTAAATGTCGTTATTGTAAAATATATTTCACTTCATCTTTGTCGTTTATATTGGTTTGTTTTTGTCACTAGTTACTCGATGTTGTTGCTGCTGTTGTTGTTACTTTTCTAAATTACTTTTATATAATTTACTTCACACTACAAATAGGCAAAGAGTATTCTCGTTATCATTATTATTCATCTATCTTCAACATGATCTAGCTTATTCACACCTTCTTATTCAAGAAATTATTCGAATTTTGTCTTTGCCAAACTCAACATCAGGTGCTTTATGTCCACATGTGTTTTACTGTTATGGTATTGTACACGCGCATGCATATGTATATGTGTGCTCATGTGTATATCATATCGTGAATTGTCTGTCATTGTTGAACATGGCAATATTTATAAATTTTTTTGAATATTATTACCTACTATTGATATAAAAAGTACTACTACTATTACTACCGCTACTACTACTATTACTATTACTACTACAAATACTACCTAATTAGGGTGTTGACAGTTATTTGGTTGCGTTTTATTATTCTCCTGCCCCATTCATGTGTTGTTGTTGTTGTTTTTTTTTTATTGACTTCTATCCGTTTCCATTTTATTCTGTCTGTGAATATTAGACAATGTTTATTTGGCTTAAAAGTTCTTTTTTTTTAAAAAAAGAAAGGAAAAATATGATGTTCATTAGTTTCTATGTCTTTTCTCAAAATTGAATCTTTTATGTTTCATTTAAATTAAACAAATCTAACCAAAATCAGTAGAAAAAAATTAGCTAAACAGTGATCTTCCTTCCTTCCTTCTTTCACATTGATTTCTATCTCCTAACCTATATGGATGATGATACAAATTAACCTACCTATCCATTCGTACTCCTTGTAGAAAAAGAAAAGAGAAAAAAAAAGGAATCAATACAATAAACTATCCAATCCCGTGCTCAGGTTTTATTTATGAATTTTTTTTTTGCATATACATTAACGAGTGACTACATGTTTTATGTACTTTTTTTTACCCATTTCATCTTTATCTTGACACTGGTTTCGGTGTCATTCTTTCTCTCTTTTTTTTTCTTTTCTAAATGTTACAACTCGGTTCTTCTTTTCTTAATTTTCCGATTTCGATCATCCTAATAATAATAATAATGATCCTTATTATTAGTAGTATTATTGTTATCATCATCATTATCATCTTATTCGAAGCGCCTCTATCCTACTTCTTATTCCCTTTTCTTCTTCTTCTTCCTTTTTTTTTACATACCAACTTCTCTTTTAGTTTGAATTCTTTAAAGAAGATTCTCGTTTGGTTTATTTATATTTTGTCTATTTCATTTACTTTTTACTACGCCCTCTATATTTGTATTCATTGATTCTTAAATAATAAAAAAAAAAAAACAAAGAAAAAAAAGAAAAACCCACAAGACAAGATTATTAGTTTTTCAGTCCAGGGACATTTTTAATTTGTACTTGTTTCATTTCATTTTACTATCCTAGAATATATATATAAATCATTTATTTGGCCAGTTTGTTTATCTCTGCTCTCCTTGTTTTGTTTTTTTCTCTTCATATTCTCACTATAAGCAACACATAAACAAAATATAGGCAGTAACAAATATTGTTTTGTTTTGGATAAATGAGAAAAACAAACAAACAATAATAAATAAGCACCTCATGTAAGTCTTGTTAGATTATATTGGTTAGTTGATGATG